CTCCTCCTCCCCCTCCTCATCTTCGTCCTCCTCCCGCTTGTCCTCCTCCTCGCCTTCGTCCTCCTCCATGCGTTCGTCCTTCGCGCAATCCTCCTCCTCCTCCTTGCCTCTATCCTCGTCATCTACTCTCTGTAACCCGCTTCTGCCCATTCCGCGTGGCACCCTATTTTGTTTTCCCCCCAGATCTTGGTCATCGTTCTCCTCGTGCTCCCCGTCAATATCATCAGCTTCGTCTTCGTCTTCGTCGTCCTCCTCCTCCCCCTCCTCCCCCTCCTCCCCCTCCTCCCCCTCATCCTCCTCCTCGTCTTCGTCCTCCTCCCGCTCCTCCACGTCTCTTCGTTCTCGTCCTCCTGCTCCTCCTCATTGTCTTCGTCCTTCTCCCCCTCCTCCTCCTCCTCGCCTTGGTCCTCGCCATCTACTTGCTGTAACCTCCCGCTCCTCGCTTCTGCCCATGCCACGTGGCGCCCTTTTTTTTTCTTTCAAGGATCTTGGTCGTCGTTCTCCTCGTGCTCCCCGTCAATATCATCAGCTTCGTCTTTGCCCTCCTCCTCCTCCTCCTCTTCGCCCTCCTCCCCCACGTCTTCTTCGTCCTCGTCCATGCCATAATTTGCCATTTGCACAAAGTTTTTTTTTTTTTTTTTTTTTAATTTTAATCCGGGCATCTATACCTATCCTGACAGGGTACCAGACATGTCCGGATTAACCAGAAAATACCGGAAAATTGGACGTTCAGATCAAACTGGGAATTCCGGTGTCTGGTGTCCGGAATTGTCCGGTTTGGTTGTCCGCCGCTGCCATGATTTGAACTCTTGCAATTTTGATGTAACTCCTTTTTCAGTGGCCCATTGTGGTCTGGAAGACTGGAAAAAAAATGTCAGGGTGTAATATCCTACTAATAGGTACGGTTCATTGTGTTTTTTTTTTTTTTGTTGTTGTTGTTGGAAAAACGCCACCTTTCTACTAGGGTGAGTGATGTGAGCATCTCCCCCTAGGAGGTTAGGTCGGGTGCTCCAGCAGGTGTTGCTCCCCACCAATAGATGGAGCCCCCCCCTACGGTGCTAGACACGACTGGTCGTATCAGCACCCCTAGCACCCAGACGGGTGTTGTCAACAAAAAAAAAAAAAAAAGGTCAGGTGCTCCAATCTACTGGTGGAGAGCAGCACCTTCTGGAAACCGGGTCCAACGTCCCTTTCTGACAACATGGAGTACGGGGGCCATTACCCGGCTTCGGCTGTGTACTAGAAAGGCACAAAGGAAAACAGCATCAGCAGTGCTGGGCGTCATGGTTTGTTTTTGTATCAGCGCCTTGGGGCGTCAAGTTTTTTGTGCTCTTTCTTCTCCATTTCTGAAGCAATGCCATTCTAGCATGCCGCTTGCTACCCTGAGAAGCAGGGCAGTTTATTTTTGTCTTTGACTTTGTGTTTTGAGAGCTGATCCGGATCGACATGGCTTTTCCCAGTAGATGAAATAAACTTGATAAAGTAATTTGATGGACTCCACATGTGGTGACTAATGGTGAATTTAGGATAAGGGGGATAGCTCACTTTTTTTTTCAATCTAAGATTCTGATCTGCACTCATTATTAGGAATTTATCACGTATTTCCAATTAGAAGTATACTCCATCTATCCAATCCTGTAATTACCAATTTAGTCTTCCTCATAAATATCATCTTTAATTCATATCTCAACTATCCTTCGATTATTGTCATCGTTAATTAGTATCCTTACTATCCTAACTAAAATCTCTATATATTCCTCATTATCCTTATATTCACATACTGGTTTTTACATTTTTAGTACCTGAAATTTCGAATTAATTAATCCCTCCTGAGTCTCCTGTTTTCCTTCAAATTAGTTACAGATGTGTCAGGTCTGATTTTCCTTTGGAATTCCTCATAGTTTCTCCACAGTATTTAAGAGAAATTAAGACTCATTTCAACCCTTATTGGACAAAAAAATGGATATCTAAATTCTGCGTACTTTTTCCTCTGTTACGCTCCCGGCTGCATCAATGATTCCTCCAAAATTTGTATGAGGGTTTCATGGAGGTTGTGAGATCTGCTCTACACGGGCTTCACAAGGTGGGTAGTGATGCTGGGGAGGCGGTATGAACAGACTGTGGGGGATACTCTACTCTGGGGCTGGGGTAGATGTGAGGGCGAACATCAAACTTCAGTGGAGGCAGATTAGGGTAAGGGGCCAGGCAGAGGCATACTTTGGGTGGGAACTGGATGTCTCGGGGTTATAGGGTGTGAGAATGGGACTGTTCCAAATTGGGGCCGACTGGGAAGGTCTTCTATTTACGACTGTCTTTGTCCGTGGAGGCAGCGAAGGGACAGGGTGGGAAGGAGCAGGGGGGGGAGGGATTTTCTAATTTTTTTATATTTTTTTTCCATCATGACTAACTTTTTCAGTACTGCGGCGTATGTGCCTGGGAGACAGACGGCTGTCTTTACGGAACCAGGACAGGCATAGCACATCCCTAATTAAGGCTATGTCCAGCTTACCTGGCTTTGACACTCCCTGGGCGACATTGGTTTTCTTTTATTGTGGATAAGAGGATTTCAGGGATAGCTGAATCCTGGCTGATGTCTGCCAGAGTAGTGGGGGGAAAAAATAAAAGAGAAGTGTTATGAGATCTTGGTTTGCTGATGCCAGAACGACTCTGGCCGGTGCTGGGGCGTTTGCCCTGTGACCTGTTTTGTAGCAGGAGTGTGAGGCCTGGTAGAGAGATCTAGGGATTTGTCGAGGGAGGAAGGCAATCCAGTGACGAACTAGGAGCGACTGCCAAGTCAACCGTTGAGGCCGGGTTTAGTCTTGGTAGTGAGAACACGACAGCTATGGTGGGTATTGGGCAGGTTGAGTTTGTCTTTGGAGTGTTGCGTCTGCATAGGGGAAGCTAGGAGATGCTCATAGATTGTGAGGTCAGGTGTTGCGGATATAGTCCATTATAGTCCTTTTTTTTTTTCTTCTGAAAAACCAGTCTTGCTGCCAGGGAGGGTGATACGAGCGCCGCCCCCTAGCAGTCATCCTGGATGCTCCAGTCTATTGGTGGGGAGCCGCACCTGCTGGAAACGGGGTCTAGCATCCCATTTTTCATCAACCATCTGAGTCACCTTCAGAACTTCTTTGTATAAAGTGTCATCCTGGCAGCATTGATTGCCCTGATTGCCAGGGGATTGACTAAGCAGGTAGTGATAAGCTTGGGAGAGGCCTGATGACTGGGAAAGCACAGCGAACATTTAACCAGCCTCACCCGGGGGGCACCGGGGAGGCTCCTCGCAGGTTCGTCAGATCCCGTCTTGCTGCATTCCTTTCGTGATCCTGTCCTGATCTTGTCTTGATCTTGTCACACTTTGTCGCCTGGTCAGGTAAGAACTTCCATCAGCGCAAGGGGGTGGGACGGGAATGGGTCCAGGAAATCAGATGGGGCCCTCATCGGGAATTCCGGGTCAATATGGGTCCAGTCATTGAAGACGAGTTGGTAATCTCTCAGGATTCCTTGATCTGTCGCCACGGCCTGATCCCCTGACCACTCGATTTGAACCATCCATCCCCCCCGATTCCCACCCAGCCACTCCATGCAGAACTCCGAAATCACCCTCTTAATATCACGGGCTGTCTGAAAAATGTCTAACTGCCGCTTAAGGTCGGCCCATCTACGCATCAGCTCCAGTTGCAATAGCTCCTGCATCTGCCCTGTCAGTTCACGACCTTCGATCTTTACCTCCTCCAAAACAAGAAGGCGGCGCTGTCGGTGCAAATACCCTAACAAGGGCATCCGCCCTGGAGGGCCAGGCAGATGGATCTCAGAGGATCCATCCTATGAAGGATGGGTGTTCAAATGGAGAACGATCAACGATCCAGGAATATGGACCTGGGAGGGAGAAGGAAAACCAGGCAGATCCCCTGTGAACACCATATCAACCCCGACCACTAAGAACACCGGCTCAGTCCTTCCAGGGGGAGGACAACAACACAAGGAAAGACAGAACGATAAACAAAATGGCCTCCACAAAAATGCAGACAAAGGAATGAATGAGGAGGATTTGAGGACAGACAAAAGGGAAAAGACAGGGCAGGAAAGACCACAGGCGGAGAAGCAGCAGCAGAAAGGGGAAGAGAAAGAGAAGGGTAAGGGAAAAGAGCGAGATGGGAGGGAGAGAGGAGAGGGACAAAACAAA